TAATGCGATATGGTTCATTTCAAAGCAAGAACATGAGAGCCAGTTTTACACAACGGTAGTGCTGACTGAAGAAATGCCACTGGAGGTAAAATACTGCATGCTGATTCTGACTGTATACTGCCAAGAGGCATACATGGTGCAGTTTTAACATAGTCGTAACACAGTGGTCTGAAATCCCTGAAAAGACTGCTGTTCGAAGACATTTTGTTCACTCTAATCCAGTGCTTTGAGATGCTTTTATACTGTAGATGCTGCTTAAAAATCTTTGAAAGAATAGTAAACTCATTCTCTCATTTTCTTAGCATTCCCATGCTATTTTTTGTGATGGCTGTAGAAGGTCTTGTATGGGTGAGGCCGGCGAGTTGTGTGTAAGCACTTTTAAATTCATAATGCACAACTGATTTTTTTTGTTTTAGTCAAATGTTTGTTGGGGAGAGTCCAGTATGAGTTTGCAGAAGATGACGCAACAAGAGTCAACGTTTGATCAACAATTGCCTCTTTCACTGACTGTATCGACTATTCAATATTCCAGGGGCAGGAAAGCTACGTACAGTATAGATCAGTGAGGCCTCTGCTTAAAATTTCCTTTCTTTAGTGGATTTCTGCAGAATGAACATTAAAACACAAACAAGAGGACACAAGTGGAAACAGTGAATCTGAGAACAAGGCACATCTTTACCCAGAGTGTAGTGGGATGTGAGTTCGACTGGCAGAACGGCCTCTTCCAATCCATCAGGTGGTTGTTCTGCTCTAAGAAGAAGCCCCACCAGGACCGTATCAAACCACACATATTTCCCTGCACCATTTAAGGCTAATTAAAAAATCTGATTTCAAGCACTGACGTTTTTAAAATAATCATCCAGTCTGTATGGCTTGGTCATCATTTATTTGATACAGGTGAAAAACATGTAATCATCTAATTTTCTCCCTACACTGATGTATCACACTGTTCCTTTGCAAAGAAATCACGATGGACAGAGAAGTAATGCAAAGCAGCCTAATCATTTAGGATGGTTTGGTTTTGCTTTTTTTCCAGTGTTTGTGCACAGGTCCCATCCATCCATCTTCTAACTGGTTCATCCTGTTCAGAGTCACAAGGGAGCCGAAGCCCATCCCGACAAGGAACAGGCACGCGGCATGATACACCATTACAAAGTTCATAGTCGAGGTAAGAAACGTCAGTTCAGTAATAAAAAATTATTATTCTTTAATCTAATTCAATTTAACGGCTTTTTTTACTCTGACCTGCATTTGGATGCACTTGTTATTATGAAAATCCCTTTCCATCTTAAAAGAATTTGTGACACACATCATAATCTGGATGAAACTTTTTTTCTCATATCTAATCAAATATAATTATAGAATGCCTTTGAAAAATGGCTACAAACGTAACTTTGAATTACAAGGGGATGTTTACTAGCGTAACAACATAACTACTTTATTAGCCCTATACAATTTTTTTGCATTAGGAGTTCATCCTTTCGCATACCCCAGCTTGTTCTCCATGAGACACAGACACACAGACAGGGAGAGAGCCTGGGGTCAGAGCGCAGGGTCTGCCATTGTACAGCGCCCCTGGAGCAGTTGGGGTTAAGGGCCTTGCTCAGGAGCCCAACTGAGTAGGATTCCTCTGCCAACTGAGGGATTTGAACTGGCAACCTTCCAGCCACAGCCACAGATCCTTAGCAACAGAGCCACTGCTCCACCCCAAAAAGACTAATTTATGTGACAAGCAAATAGGAAGAACTGATGCAGAAAATAAATTGAAAAGTAAATTGTGAATTAAACAGATTGTTTGCACGAGAAAGTTGGAAAGCTATAGGATGTTGTTCTGACCTTTTCTGAAAAATACAGTAGTGCAGATTTCCATCTATGAGTGTAATTTTCAACAGGTGAAAATGCTTAAAAATCACATATCAAAAACAAGAGCAATTGAAGCAAAATCTTTATTTTGTTAGTTGTAAACAATCTTGTGCTCTGCCAGGAGAAAATATTTAGCTAGGGTGCCATCCTCTCACAGACAAACGCTTTCAAGAACTCATGGAACTGAACCTGTCAGTCACACAATAATGTTAAGCATAACGGGGAAAAGGGTCTCTCTTCACCCAAATTTTCCAAAAATCCTTCCATTGATACTAAGAAAACATAGTCTTGCACACTGAAAACATTTTGTAGAAGGTCTATAATGGCATTGGTTTTTATTAACTTATCACCCAGTCTGAAAGTGAATATGTTTTATACCAGGGAGTTGCAGACCTTGTCCTGTAGTTGAATAGTGTCTTCTGGTTTTCATTTCATTTGAGCTTTCATTGACTTAACTGGCTCAATGCATTGCTTAATAAGGAGACATTAGCAAGCATTCCAAATCCCTGTTTGCCAGTCTGTAAATTAACCTATAAAGCTACTTGTAGGTTCTGCAGGACCAAGGATGGACACCCCTGGTTTGTACCATTCTAACATAGGCAGACGTCCATTGAATAACATAAGGCACCAGCCTGAAGTTTCATATTGCACAATATATCAAATCCTGCTAATTCTTATACAAGAATGCATAAGCTATTATAAACAACCCCAAAAACAATCATCAGATGCTGATATCATCTCAAAATATTTGCATGTCTTTGCATAATCTGGTTTTCTGGATTATTATGTCTATTACTACACAGTATACAGGTTATGGGTAAAAGTTAACTGCAATTAAGTCACGTGTGAACAGCACAGGATCATGCAGTAATATGTTTTAAAGACCTCTACATGGTTTTCTTCATTGTCTGTACTTTTTTCCTTTTAACCTGAAGGATTTCACTGGCATCAGGATTGACCCCAGGCTGTTGAAATTCCTCTTGGGTTTCCATCATCTGACTTGCCTGCTGTGGAAAGTAAATTGTGATAAATCTGTCCTATACTGAAGAGTAGTGCACTACAGTTTGGATCTGTAATAAGATACATTCTTCATTATGAAATACACTGTACATTTAGCATATAAACTTATATGTATGAATACAGTAGTATACTGTATAATCATAAATATCAATAACATGTAAGCATACATTTCTTGAATTTAGTTTTGTCCACTATGAATTATTAGTACCACCCCCTGACTTAGCTGTGCTGTATCACTGTGATGTTCTAGAAGGGGGGGTTCTGTTTCTCACCATCATTTGCTGGTAATGAGCCGCAGCCTCTTCAGGGTTCATTTCCTGAGCGTAGCCCAGTTCAGCTGCCCGCCTGGCCATTTCTACTTTGTGGGAGCCGGGTGGAGTCCAGCCGATACCCCGCAGCCAGTTGAGATCAGACTTGTAGTTCACCTGGAAAGGAAATTGAATTTGAAAAAATGTAGGGCCCCTTATTGTGATGTGATTTGCTCTGTTCTTTTTTGTAGTTTTCTAATCAAACTGCAGGAGAGAAGCCTGTTTATTATAGCTGAATTTGTTTTCTCTCCAAAGCCTGACTTAGTTTTTTCTAGGCAATCTTAAAAGCTTTGATTTGAGAAATATGTAAAAATTCCCTCTTGCAAAAGAACAAGTAGAGGTTAATTCCACACCGAGAAGAAAAAAAGGAGCTTTGGCTGTGGAGGTCTTTTTTAATTCTCATCTTAGAATTAATTTCTACTTGTTCCTTTTTATGAAATCATTCAAAACACATTTAATAGTGTTTTACCAAATCCTTATTTCAATATACAGTATATGTAATTATTTCAGTATATACAGTAAGTACTTTTCCATTATCAAAAGGAAAATGTTTGTCCAAAAATCCCCTTTTTTCCACAAGATTTTTCCATTTTCAGCAAAGAGGCTTTGCAATAAAAGTAAATTAGACCTTGCTTTACATTGTCACAGGCACACACCATCTTCTTCTAGTAATAGACCTTGCTACATAAGGTACATAAAGTGGATGGGATTGAAGGTAATTGATTATAGCTTTAAAGCCCAAATACAAGACACACAAGGGACCTAAGCGTATTCTAAAATAGTAAAATGTCCTTTGAGACCTACTCATACTACCAAATCCCAGAGGAATAAGAAGTATTTTAGGATCTGGGACACTTACATCACTCTGTAATTTGTAGGCTTGCTTGGCGTGTTTCATATTTAGTTGCTCTGGGTCACAGGTATAGTGGTGCAAGTGCTGTCGGTAGCTCAGGTTGCTGGCTTGCTCCTGGCTCTTTTTGGCATGGATGAAGCTCGGCTGGTCGGTATGGATCTTGTATTGGGAACGTGTTTCTTCATACTGCTTCTTATACTCATTATTGCTCTGGAGCTTGCTCGCAGAGAGGAAATGTTTCATTTTGGGGTCATCATTGATGCTGCGCAGTCCAATCTGGTGTCCCCTTTCCTTCACAAAGGTTTCCTTATAGCGGAACTGAAAACACAGAGAGCACCCTTTGTCTGACATCTAACATCTAAAACAATAAAATGTCTCGCATGGGCTAGACACTCTTACTGTTATACCATCTTTTTTATAAAAATAAATGTCTGATTTTACATTGATCAGGCTGGTTTGAAAATAGTTAATGCAGTATTAATGGTAATGCATTTGCACACTAACCAGCCATTGATTATATGAGTCTGCTGTGATGGATACTCACATCACTAGCAATATCTCGGGAAGCTTTAGCTGTTTGGAAAGGAATGGCATCCAGGCGAAGGTCATATCCAGTAGATCTGACCTGATCCCAGGAGGTTTTATAGACTTTCTGCAGGAAAGGAGGAATAAAAAAGCTTATATTGAATGCTTAACTGACAAGGCATTCATATAACCCCCTGAAGGACCGATTCTCCCCTTCCCACACTTACACATCATGTGTAGAATTAAATTGCTATAGAGTAATGCTAGTGAGTCCAATAATGTAGCCCTTTGCCTCATATTGGCAGTAAGTAATATATAACAAGTTTGATAATACAGTATGATATAAATAATATTATAATCCTTTATAAGTACATTTCCAGATAACAATAGTTAGATATAGATTCTTTTCTTTCTACATTTACATGTTTTCTCTTTTTTATAGCAAAAAACAAACTAAGCAGAATGGCATTTCTATGTATCAGATCTTGGTTCATCAAGGCTTAAGGAATTGACTCAATTTCTCTTTAAAACTTTAAAACTGATCCATAATAAATGTCTCTTACATCACTGATGTGCTGGGCATTCATCCGGGCTCTGATAAAGTCAGGGTGATCGGGAGGTAAGGTGTATCGATGCATCAGTTCAGAATCCCCCGACTTGTAAAGCCTCTAAAAAACAAGGCAAGTTCAATCTTGAATAGTACGACAGCGACAGAGCTTACCTGCACTGGATAAGATTTTGCAAACTTTCTACAACCATTTTAGTTAGAGAGAACAAATGTTGATTTGTCATTTTCATTGCCTTTTCTGAGTGAATACAATTATTCGCTTTCAATAGTCATTTCTAAAATAACAGATAAGGTGAATTCCACCTGTTGTTTGCCAATGTGTTTTGCATTTTTATGTCTTGTATGTGTTTCAGGTATGGTATATATGATTACAAAAAAAAACAATGGTAATGTTTAAGTTAAGGACACATATAATGGTGCAAAGTGCCAGCAAATAAATTACCACTTTTTTAACTGAAATCTCTAAATGAACTCACCTCACTGCATTGTAAGTAGCTGTTCTTAGCATGGACGATATCTGGAGAGTCAGCTATAGAGGTGAACTTGAGACTGTCTGGCAACTGTCGGTATTTCTTCTACAAAGGCAAGAAAGATGGGCAGGATTTATCGTGAGCCTTACAGGAAACGTAATGCCACCAGTCCACTGAAAGAAATTCTTAAATAAATTAATGTTTTGGAGATTAAATGTTCAAATTTCATGATGTCTGAATTGTAATGCCATTCTTCCCGCTGCAGTCCATTTCTGGAGGTACAGCACTGGAAATGATGTCTTGTAGGACTCGGGCTGTATTCTAGAGCCTCTAAATGACCACCAGTATCCTCTCAAAGCACACTTATCTACTCTCTGTGTGGACATGAAGCTGCGGTTTGTACCTCACTGATAAGCTCTCCTGCTCTCTTCGCTGTCTCAATTTGTGGGGTACCTACAGTGATCCAGCCAACACCTCTCATGAAGTTCAGGTCGGACTTGTACAGTTTCTAGACAAAAATAAGTTATTTTAAGTTAATAATAAGTTAATATGAAACTTCTATGAAAGTAATATGAAATAGCTAATATGCAATGCATAATCATATTTTCTAGAGTAGTGCTCAACACTTAACAGATATTTATACATAGTATTTCTAGGACCATAGGGGAAGTACAAAGGTTATTAAGCATAAAAATCAAGGGTAATATCTCATGATGTTGGTGCTTTTCTTACAGAGCAATGGAAGTCAACGTTTTTGAGACTTTGGGGAAAAAAAGGTAAGGTTTTGTGATTTATTGTCAGGTTTTTTTTTTACTTTCAGAGTTTTTGCTACAGAGCATTTGTTGTTTATTAAAGCTCTCCCTCTCATAAGAAAAAATAAAACAAGAAACTGATTTTCCAAAGGTGGTCATACGGTGACGGTTTATTTTTGATTCCATAGAATCAAATTACCCAATGCAAAAAAAAGGTTGCCATTGCCACGTCTGGCTTTTGCAGCTGTTGAGTATTTCACAATTTTGAATTATGTGGGTCCATTTTAAAGAGGTAAAACGTACTTCTACTATATTTTCCATGACTTGTCTGTCGCCATGATTTCCAATTTCGTTTTTTTTTTTGCAACAACATTGAGAAAAAGTTAAAGATGCTGTCCCTCGGAACATGTCTAAAAATACCCGATGGTCTTTTTTTTTCTCCCTGGACTGATTACCTCGCTCTGCAGCTCATGGGCCTTCTTGGCCCATTGCACTTTCATGTCATCCGGCAGCACGGTGTAGGAGTGGAACTTGGTCTTGTAATCCTGGTCGCTGGCCAGAGCCTGGGCCTTCCTGGCGTGCACCAGGTGGACCATGTCCAGAGGCAGATGGAACTGGGCGCTGGTGCTGCGGGACTCCTTCTTGTACTGCTGCTCGCTGTGCAGCTTGGCCACCTGCATGCAGTGCAGCAGCCTGGGGTCATCCAGGATGCTCCTGGCCCCGATGTGCTTGCCCTTCTCCAGGACAAAATCGTGTCTGTACTGATACTGCAGGACAAGATCGAGACGGGCAGGGTCTGAGTTATCTCGTGGTTCTGAGAGCGACGCAGTTCAACAAAGTGGAAGCAGTTTTTTATTTCAACCTGATTCAAAGTTTGTTGTGGATCAAGCATTTTGAATCGACACTGCTAATGGTCTTAAATCCGGAAAGAGACCTTGAGGGTAATGTTTTGATTATTTTTCTGTGTAACTAATGTCATACTAAAATCCCAAGGGAAGACTTGAAAGTTCAGCACTATGTGTTTGCTTTTTAAAAAAAAAATTAAAATAGCTCCTTCTGAATGCTGTACCATTATTTCTCACTTTACCTAGCCTGCTTTTTGGCCACACAGAAAATGACTTTAATTGACAATCAAACCTGGTCTGTCCTCATAGGAGCAGGAAGCAAAGAGCAAACACCCACTTGACACAGGGACAATATTCAGTCTCCCCTCACATAGAAAGGTGGCTGAGGCCAGATTTCAACCCAGGACTCTGGAGCCATGAGACAGCAGTACTAACCACCACATCATTGTGCTGCTGAAGAAAAAGTTAGTTGTGCTGGTGAACTCACATCACTTGCTATATCCCCTGAGGCTTTCGCTGTCTGGAAAGCAATGGCATCCATTGTTAACTTGTATCCCTGAGCTCTCAGATTATGCCACGATTCTCTGTATTTTATCTGAAACAATAGGAAATTGCAAAAGTCAATTAAAGATGAGCACAAAACTATAAAACTGCACCTTAAAAGAGTCGCAGCAGGCTTTTACCACAGTATAATAAAAAATTACTCAACGGATACAAAGCACCATTACAAAAGCAGTGGAATAGGAGAAGAAAAAACAACAACAAATACCTCACTAAAGTTGGCTGCATTAATCTTGGCTTGGGTGAGCTCAGGTCGTCCAAGTGTTAAGGTATAATTATGTCTTGCATTTTCTCCGGCTTCTTTGTAAAGGCGCTGAAAAATACTTGTTTTTATTAGTTTTTGCTTGTTTTTATTATGAAATCAACTTTGCCACAAAATATAATGAATGTTATTAATGTGTTGGCTGTTTTGAAGTGTAATGATAATGTTATCAGCCCTTAGCAGCTTACCTCATTGGTAATCTGGTTGCTGAACTTTGCATGAACCAAGTCAGGTGAGTCCGTCACTGCTGTGTGCTTGAAGGAATAGGGGTGTTGACGGTATTTTTTCTAATATGAATAAAAGGAGAGAAATATAAAAGCTGGAGTAAGTCCGGTTGTTTAATAAATCCTTTTGCAAGAATCTTCATGTTTGAGTCAGGAAAAGTGCTAGTATATTTTAATTTCATCAATATTAAAAATCTTTTAAGAAGTGCACACATGTAAACTGTAGTCCCTCATATGACACTTTCATAGACAAAACATAATTTCAACATTTTAGGATAGCAGTATATAACTGTACACAAAGTATCATGATTTGCTTTTGTGCTCAAGTTTGAACAGAGAAGGTGCCGTTCTGCTTGTATTCATATTTATATATTCAGATGTAAGCATTCATACTATTTTTTATTTAATTAAAATTATTAATGAGCAGCTACTTGTTCCAAAAATATTTTTGCTCAATATATTACAAATAACTGCTGTCAAAGATGACAGTTTAAAAACTCAGCTTTTGACATTTTTTACACAGATTCGATTTACACAGAAGGCTCCGTTGTATCCAAGATAAACCTGACTAGGGAACAAGCATCCCAAACAGTTCTCTTCTTATACTAGATGATAATTTTGTAACTGTATATTGCTAGGCTAGAAAATACTGAGTTTCCTTACCTCACTAATGAGTTCATTAGCTCGCTTGGAGCCTTCAATCTGTACAGCCCCAGTGCTGATCCAGGCCACTCCTCGCAAGAAGTTAAGATCAGATCTGTAGAGTTTCTGTGAAATATCATAATTGTGTTATTTATATACACTGTACGTATTACAATAGCGCACACAGCTCGGAAAAGAGCATGTGAGGATTTAAAAAAAATGTCTTTGTGGAACAATAGCAAAATCTCTTTTACTGTTAAGCACACAACTTGTACTAATTGACAATTGGTCCAATTAGAGCATGCATAGCTCACATAGATTGAAAGTCTTCATAACCACATTCATAGACCATTGTCAGGTGGTTTGTCAACTTGCAGTGTGAACCTTTTGCACCTAAGCAGAAAGTGCTTTTGAAATTTAAAATGTTACCTCGCTCTGTAAGTCATAGGCCTTCTTTGCCCACTGTAGCTTCAGATCACTGGGCAGAGAGGTGTAATTATGGAAGAGGTGTTTGTAGTCCTGGTCACTGATCAGGGACTGAGCCTTCTTGGCGTGGGTCAGCTCCATCATATCCAGAGGGAGGTGGTACTGGGACCTGCCTCTCACAGAGTCCTTCTTGTAGCTGATCTGTCTCAGTGATCAAGGGGAAACCACATTTAAAAAAAGAGGCTGTGCAAAAAATGTTAATAGAAATCGCATAATGTCAAATCTAGTCTCCCTATGCAAACATTATTTCAAATGTGTCTGAATTGATGAGTCTTTTGACATGAAATCGATTCATTCCGGTTTGTGTGGTGCGTTCCACTGATTTGCCTCTGAAATTTGAACTATAATTGTATTCAGCCACTGAATGGTTTATTTTGACTATGGCAGATGAGGAAGGCATTTTGAATCAGCCACATTATGTAGTTGGGATCAGTACTCCGCAAGTATTTTTGTATTGTGTTTCTTTTTTTAGTGTCTATGCTTTAAAGTAAGTGCATGTTTTATAGTAATTGTTCAATGACACAATTCAAGGTCTGATTTTTAAGGATGCAGCTTTTCCTTTAAGCCTTTTTTCTTTGCTTGTTAACATATGGCAGTAAAGCAAATGGTTTTTGCTTATTATGTCAATATATTAATAATACTTAAGGATCTAGAATAATTTACGAAGGCACCTAGCTCTTTACTCACATCACTCTGTAGCTGAGCTGCATGGACAGAGTGCACAATCTTTATATCATCCTCCACTCCTTTCAGTCCAATCATATGTCCCTTCAATTTTTCGAACTCTTCTTTATATTTGTACTTAAAAAAGAATTTGGAGAAAAAGAAGTACATCAGAATCATCTTAACAGACACTCCTTTTTGCACACTGTGTCTATTGCACGTACCCTCTGCATCATCAGAGTGGCAGGGATTGTTTTAGAAGGGGCTGTAACACCAGATCACATCAGAGGTTATCAATGGCCTCTATAATTTGGAAATAGACACACTGGGAGGTAATTAGTTAATTAATCAGATTACCAGTCGTGGTGAATTCTACATTCTTACACGAGGTTACTTAGGGATGTAAAGGGCCTTAAAGGGAGTAGTGGTGGTTGGGTTTTTGGTAGCAATCAATAGTAGACTTGGCCAGTTGAAAGGAATGGCACAATCGTGACAATATAGCCTCCTTCCCTGTCCAGTATGACCATTGTAACTTTTTGATAAAAAAAAAGCTACTTTGTTTGAAGGTAGGATCTGTCACAGAGACTATTTGCTTATTCTTTTAAAATTTGTATTTAGATGTTTTAGAGAAGCACTTTGCAAGTGGGAAATATATCAATGTGTTATGCTCATTACATTTTAAGGGCCTACAAATTTAATAAAACCATCAAATGCAAAATGAAACATTCCAGATTGAGTTTATGCAGGTACCTAGAAAAAAATCTCAACCAAGTGTTCTTGGCACTGAGATTTTTAAACTGTTATTTGAAACTTTAACAAATGGCTCATTTTAAAAGGACAGGACCCTAAATGCACGTGTTAACTTAGACAAATACTTACATCACTGAAAATATCTCCTGATGCTTTTGCAGCCTGGAATGGAATTGCATCTAAACGAAATGTGTATCCAGCATCTTTCAGTTTAGTCCAAGATTGCTTATAACAGGTCTATAGCAAAAAAAGACACAGATTAAAACCCTAACAGAGTTCTAGTAGCCTTGTTACTCCATTCCTGGAAGGAAACTAGAGAATCTTTCATCACTCCGTCAGTAGTTTTTTGCATGCTTATCCTTCATTAAATTACACTACATTATATGGCATTACCTATATTTGGGTCTCAAAATATTTTTTTTTAAATTGCAGATAGATTATCCAACCATCCAATATCAGCTTATCCTGGCCAGGGCTGCAGCAAACTGGAATTTTCTCTTCTCTACTAGTGTTATTATTATGTTAATTTGTACAATCAAGTATTTTTACTTTTTATATAAAGAAAATTTGGTGCAGGCAAATCAGATTTCTTTTTAAAAATATATAGTTTTTTAAAAAGTTTTGTTGTTTTTTATCCAGTTCATTTAAACGACTGTTTAGTACAAATTACAGTACAAAGTAAAAATTACAGGGTTATATTCATGGCAATTAAAACCAGGTCAAGCAACAAAATATTGGACAAACTCGTATATAAAGGGAGAGTATGTTCCCCTAGACAAGAATGGTAAACGTCTGTAGGTAGGGAAACACCATTAACAATGATGTCACTGGTTTTCAAAAGATGTGTTGTGAACCAACAGAGATAATGTTTTCGGTCAACTTGAATGATCTATAGATATATTTTGAGAACTTAGTTAAAAACGAAGAGGACTCTTTCTCACCTCACTGATATTCATTGCATTGAGTTTAGCTTGGATGTGCTCTGGAAGATCTTTGGTCAGGGTGTAATGATGTTTCACACTCTCTCCATGCTCTCTGTAGAGTCTCTGAAAAGGAACAGACATTTTACCAGTTCAGCACTGTAAAGGGTCTAAATACTTTATCATGAATTAAACAGCAATGTTCCCACAACTATAGATTTTGCTTGCTTACACCATAACTGTCTTACTATAAACTGCCTTGAGATGATGAATCATAAAATATGCTATATGAGATAAATATTTATTATGTAATAAGATCTAATCAATTTTGAAAAAAAAAAGGATTTTGTAACAAATTAATGGCATCATCTTATTTAAGGCTTCATAACTGCAAATAAAACTACTCTGTAAAACAATGTTATCAGTCTAAGTGTACTACAAAGCATCTTACATCCACAGCCTGGTTATAGCTGATTTTGGCTTGAAGCATTTCGGGTGTGTCTTTCACGCTTGTGAACTTCAAAGCATATGGGTGCTGGCGATATTTTGTCTGTCAGGGAAAATAAAGGGATAAATAAATTTAATAAATACATTTATAAATACGTTAACTTTCATAATATTCCAGATAGATTTACAGCCTTGTTTTTAATTGCTATGTGCAGGATTCAAACTGGGAAACCCTGTCGCTGTGGAATTCAAACTGAGACGTTTCTGGTTTTCAGTTAAAGTCAGTATGACAGCACAGCCATGTGAGGGAGTAAGCTGCTGCTCTGTCACCTGACCAGTTGCAGGAAGTCAATTGTTCAGGTGACTGTTTAAAAGTAGAAAGAGGACACTTGCTAGGTCAGTCTGCAGGAGGGGATGGCTATATGCGTTAAAGATACTGAAAAGAATATTATCTGTTTCTGAGCCTTCTCATCTAACCTCCTTTGTTCTGGATACAATGTATAATGTGGTGTTTAAGTAATGCATCACTAGCTTCTCAGGGAACAAAGCAGATTGTATCTTACTTCACTGATAAGTTCTCCGGATTTCTTGGCCTGCTCAACATCTAGTGATCCTGCAGTCATCCACCCCACCCCTCTCATCCAGTTCAGGTCAGACTTGTACTTGTTCTGGGACAGCAAAATAAGCAAGTATATATTTTAAGGAGAAATGCCTTGATTTTCGCAAAACTAAACTACAATGAAAGCGCTGTATTGTGCAAACAAACATGAGTACAGAGATTAAGATGCTAAGTCAAAACTAGTTCAAAATTGACCAAAAACTGATATACTTTTCCTATTAAATAAAAGCCCTTTTTTTAGATTTATCATACAAGAAACATTCACGTTAATTTAAATTTGGTTAGGGGGCTTGAACATTTTATGCTATCTTTAATCCAGGCCTTAAAAATAGTTTCCGGAACAGAAATGCAACCAATTGGTCAAGAAATAAGTTTGAGTAAGAAACAGATGAGATAAAAATCTCTTTTGGGTCTTATGAATGACCATCCTATTAGGAATCATTCATAACTCTTGCACTATAGTTAGGACACGGGTGACTGAGTCTAGACTTTAACATTTATTTGATTACTTGGCTTTTTTTTTATTCTTATGCTCTTTAATAATTGATTCATTAATGATAAATAGAAAACCCCTTGAACTTTGGAGCTCATTGACCATCATTACTACAATGTGGCTTGTCTTTATCTGAACAGAAATGCAACCTTACAATGGCAGAAGCTGCCCTGATGGCAAAAAAACAGCAAACAATGAGGTTATCATCTGATCATGGTACCCTACCGATGGGTATCCTAACGATTTTCTTATTTACAGCTCAAACATCATTGCAAGAACCAATAAATAACCTGTCTGGGAAAGATCAGAGAGAAACAGTTCTTACATCACTCTGTAGTCCATATGCCTTCTTAGCCCATTCCACCTTCATATCAGTGGGAAGAGTGGTGTAATGATGTAAGATGGTCTTGTACCCTGTGTCTGTTGCCAAGCATTGGGCTTTCTTGGCATGTACCATGTTCAGCATGTCCAGGGACGCACTGTGCTTGGTCTTGGAGTCCTCATACTCTTTCTTGTACTCCAGATCACTCTGTAGCTTGGACACTTGTGTGGAATGGGCCATCTGAGAGTCTTCCTTGACATTCTTTACTCCAATCAACTTGCCCTTTGTCTTTTCATACACTTCTCTATACTTAATCTGGCAGGGGAAAAGAGTGTCACCCGGTCTCACTTCAGACATATTAATAACTGTTTATTTCCGCAACTCTCCATCTTAATCATTAATCATAATGTATAATTTAAATAATATATTTATATATAATAATTACAATTAGCTGGAAGATGTTTTTATTCAAAGCAATTTGCAGGGACTAGGGAGTAAACCATGTATCAGTAACTACAGCTGCAGTCAATTACAGCAGGAATTTGGTTTTTCAATTTATTCAAGTAATGGTTCAGTAAAATGCTTAGGGGGGTAATTTTGACACACGAAATTAGCAAGGCTTTAGACATCAACCTCCTGGTAAAAACTGAAATACGACATGGCAGTTTTTGTCATCAGACTTAAAGGGCCCAATTAAAACAGATTTGCTCCTGATATTCTGTTAAACAGTTACAGTATATATGTTTTAATGTAAAGTACACACAATGTTGTAATCAATTAAAGATGTAAGTGTGCTTAAAGGGTAAATAAAATGGCACATCATTTTGAACTGAATATTATGCAGTGATAGAAGAAAATAAAAAAAGAATTGCCCTAGAGCAAGAGGCTTTGAATGTTCATCTCTCAACTCAAAAACAGATTTCTGAAAGATTTAAAATACTTTTTTACACCAATTCTTCTGTGTTTAATCCAATAAGAAGGAGACCTACATCACTTGCAAGATCCCTCTTGGCTTTTGCAGTAAGAATTGACAGAGCATCCATGCGCAGCTCAAAACCTTTCTCCTTCTGCTTTTCCCAGCTGCTTCTGTAAGTTTTCTGTATATCAGATAAGCAATTAGCAAACATATTAGCATGAAAAACCTTTGGTGCTTCAGCACTCTATTTCTAGCATCCAGACATTTCCTACAACAGGACAGTATTATTTCTAGGATTATAAGACAGTAAACACAGTGATGTCATTAAACAAAAAAGATACTTAATGCTTTGGGCCAACTGGACAGTCATTTTAGTTTGGGTTTGCTGATGTTAAAATAAGAAAATGAACTTCAGAGTAAGGACAAGAACAGACACTTTTTGTCAGTTCAGCTTAGTGGCAGAAATATCTCACTTCAATAGCAATTTTCCTTACCTCACTGAGGTATTCCGCATTCGTTTTAGCAAGCTTGAAGAGAGGCTCGTCTTTGCTCATGGTGTACTGGTGAAGCATTTGCTCAGTGCCCGCCTTGTACACTATCTGAAAGGAAAGTGTGGACATGTGGATAAGTGCACTGGTGTTTATAAGACCTACCCACACAGAGAAGGAGCATAAGGAAACCTGTGAAAATCTGAAAATGCATGGAAGTTATTAAAAATGTTTTTGAATATAAATTCATAAACTTTAAAAAGCATTTCATTATGCAAAAAAAAAAGAGATTTTCTTTAGGGTCTGACTTTTTAAAGTACAATTTAAACTGAGCTGAGAAATCCCAAAAGGTTATAGCAAAGATACATCCATGTAGTAGAGGCATGCTTACCCCACTTTGCAAGTCTTGGCTTCTCTTGGCATGTTTGATATAAGGAGTGTCAGCCACTTGAGTAAACTTCACTGCATCTGCTTTTTGCCTGTACTTTTTCTAATGAGGAATACAATAGAATTTTCACTTTCTTTCTGTTTACATTTACATCATAAAAAAGTTGCAATCATCTGTTCTTGGTAAGATTATGTTCTCAAATTGTTAAATCAACTGCATAAAGAATCCGCTCTAGAAAATGTTTAATTTATACAGTTTAACAGGACTTTATGTGCTGCATTTGTTTCAGCAGAAGAGCATATACTGTATGCAAAGCCATACCTCAGTGTAGAGGGGAGTGAATTGTCTCCTTTAGTACTTACCTCACTAACAAGTTCTCCTGCTTTCTTGGCCTGTTGCACATCAAGGCAGCCTTCTGTCATCCAACCAACTCCCTTCATCCACAATAGATCAGCCCTGTACTGGTTCTGAAATCAGACATTGAGAAGTGAGTTCGAGGGCAGTTTATAGCAAACATAATATGATGCATTAAGTTAAGATGACAGAATCCATAAGAAAACTGGATGGGGTTAAACTCTCAGCCATGGGAAGTTCGGTCATTTAGAGTAGAGGTAATTTAGAGTAGAGTACATTGTTAAATGAGGAGGCCCTGTGTGGCACAGAGCTGGGAGGCTCCTGACAGGAAGTGCACTGGTTTCTTTTTCAGCCTCTGAAAGATGTAAATGGTGGTTATGCCTCCTAACAACATGTTATTCAACAAAAGGTGATTACACTTCTTTTGAGTTTCTAATGTGCTAAAATTCAAACATAGTTTTCATTTTTTATTTAAGGTCAATTTATAAAATGTAACTTTTCATTTAATATTCATTATTGGGTACAAAATTGAAAGCAGAGCCTAATCATTCTAAAGCCAATTAGTCATTTACATCTTAATCTACTGTATAGTGCATTTATTTTGTGTGTAAACAATAAATAACTTGTACAGTAAATATTCTTTCAATGATCCCTGAGCTTCAGAAATGTGATAACAGTAAGATTTCTGATTTTTCATATGTACTTCAGCACTATTTGCATATTTATGGAGCAAAAAATCAAACACTGTGACTCTGACCATGTTCCACATTACTGTTATTATTATTATTTGGATTACATACTTAGATACTGTACTTACTGTATACTGTATAAAGCTTATAATAAAACATTAGAAATACAAAGAAACTCAATTTTGCCATTGAGTACCTGCAAAATCTGTTTCCTGTATTTTTTCTATGTCAGGCAAAAACATTTCTGGGAAAATAAATTATTTTCATTCAAAAAGCGCTCTGTACCTCCCAGCTGATGTTTATCTCACCTCACTCTGTAAGTTGTAGGCCTTCTTTGCCCACTTGACCTTCATGTCATCAGGCAGCACAGTGTATTCGTGGAGCCTCTTCCTGTACTCCAGGTCACTGGCAAGAGACTGGGCCTTCTTGGCATGGCTGATATTAATCATGTCGAGGGGCAGGTGGAACTGGGACCGGGCCTCTTTGGAGCCCTTCTTATAGGCTATCTGAGGAAGGAGTCAAGATCCATGGGAAAGGTTCTCAGCAGTTGACAAAGAAAGTCAAACAGTTTCCCACCAGGGTAAGAGAGGCTGTGCAAGAACACCAAGTATGGGCTTGTTAATGAATTTATCATTTTACCTCATTATTCATCTTGGCAACCTGCAGCGAATGCAACGTCCTGGAATCGCTCATGTTGACACCTACTGCTTTGTCCTTGATTTTCATGAAATCTTCCTTGTATTTAATCTGTTAAGATTGAAAATATGATTAGCTAGCACCCTTGCCAAGCATTTTACTGTTGTTGCTGCAAAACGGTCAGGCCCAGCTTCAAGGTGAGCGCTAGTGCCTTTGATATCCTCGGTGCACCACTGCTCGTGGTCTGGAAAGGTCACTCACTCTACTAAGGCTTTTCCCAGGTACAACACAACACGAGCTCACTGAGAAAGCTGACATTCTAGACAATCAATACTTACATCACTAGCTAAGTCCCTGGATGCTTTGGCTGCCTGTAAAGACAGGTCATCCAAACTCATTTCACAAGCTTTAGATTTAGTCTTCTCCCAGTTTTCCTTGTATTTTATCTGTAAATAAACAAAAATGCAAATTCTATACTTCTAGGGTAGCTCTATAAGTTACATAAATACAGTATAAATCCTGGAAAGATTTCATTTTATTTTTTGACTTAAAGTAGTGCCACTTTACTACATCTTGACATCCACAGTAAATACTGAAATTCTAGTGTGTATTTTAAGCAGAATTTCCTGGAACTTAGACAATACTGATAAAAATGATTTTTATTAGCAATTAATGATTTTATTAGCATTTCCTAAGGTTTTTTAAAGAGACATTTTTAAAGAAATGAAAATACAAAATATTGATGGCGCATCTGTTGAGATCTTTGATAAAGGCATTGAATGGGAACCAAACAAGGTCCTCAGTGAGAATTCCAGTATTCTGAGTAACACTACAAAAAATAGCCAGGAAGCTCATCACAGATTACGACTAGTCCATGGTGCGGGGCTATTAAAGCATTATTAATCACACAGGAGAATTACACAGGAGCCTAGATAATCATATTGAGCTCCTAAAAGGAATGGAATTATATTTAGCTCCACAGTAGAAATAGACTCAGACACTGAGCATGTGGCTCTGGTGTGATTAGCTGTTTATGTAACTGGGCTTCCTTTGTTTTTTTATGTGGGAAAGAAAAGAAATGAATTACAACCAAACAATATGCTTTTTTTTCAGGTGACAAAGAGACGTGCATGATGCTTTATACAGTAGGATTTAGAAACACAGGGATAGGTAAAAATGTAAAAATATCTTGATATTCCATATAAAAGATTTTAAAGGTTAAAGTGAAAATGTGACAGTTGATCGGAGGCTTAAAATAACTACATTTATGCTTTATATTTATATTGTTTTTTACTGTTTCATATTTCCATGCAGCTAAACAGTCCTAGTCAGTCTTCAGCACTTACATCACTAAAAAGTTCTGCATTGGCCTTGGCTTTTTTGATCTGGGGAAGATCCTGAGGGAGAGTGAATTTCGTCTTGGTTTTCTCATATTCAGCCCTATAGTTCAGCTGAGGAAAGAAAATGAGTTGTGAGAACAAAAAAAGTATCATAGTCACAGATTAATATCAGAGTCAGTAAGATCTCAGGTTTCAGAGTGCCACTTGAACACAGAAGCACATACTGAACATTGTGTAGTGTTATAAGTATAGCACCAAGCAAACTGCAATGTACAGTAAATAAGAATACCTCCTAGGCATTTAACAGTTGATGAAATGGTAATGTTCATGCTGAAAAATGAATCAATTTTATTAATCTTGACTACTAATTTGCTATTTTTCCCTGTTTCAACAATATTTTTGTAAGATGAATTTTATCAACTGAGCTACAATAAATAAAATAAAATAGTACATACACAGAAGTACGACTACAGAAATACTGTAACTTTCTCGGTGGGTGTGAGGTTTTATTTAATGCTACCTCTTACAAGTGATGATCTTTTAAAAAAGAAGCAACACAAACTATGATACTTTGATGAATACTAACACACTGAAAATGTCAATGTGACAATTGAAACCTGACAATATGAGGACTTGCAATGGGAAAATGTTGGGGAATAAAAGCAATTACCAATCACAGGTATCACAGGTCAAACTCCAAAACAGAGGTAGAGCATTTGACTCACACACTGCAAGATTTGGCAGCTCAGAAAAACCATCAGTAAAATACAATAACAAAATTAAAAGCCCATTGATTGGTAATATTGTTTTAGTAAACTACAAAGGTGTTTCTAGTAATTGGTTTCACAAATATAAATATTAAATCAGAAGATTAATGAGAAAGATAACTAGGTTATCTTTGGTTAACTCTATGAGTGATGTTTTATGAGAAAGGCCCTCAACCCATTGATACCAGGTCATGTGTCACTGGGTAATTGTGTTTATATTGAATCCTCCCGTGAGGAAAATGCTTTTTGTCAAGAAGGTAAATCGTTGAAGTTTGCCAATGACCGAGCTCAAGAGAATTCAGTTGACACTTACATCACTGAACTGTTGGGCGTTGATTCTTGCTTGTACTATTTCAGGAGTGTCTGTTACTGAGCTGTACTTCAGCTTATCAACGTGCTGCCTGTAGTTAACCTGGAATTAAGGAAAGTGTGACAAGAAAGAAACAGTTTATTCCCAAGCACATTCTATTTACGGTTCATGTAAATCACAAACACCTTGTGAAATGTGGAATAGAAAATAAGAAGGTTAGAGTGAAGGGGACTTCCACCTAGCATTAAAAAGCAACAGAAAAACAGTAAACATGAAAAAAACAACAAAACTGAAACAAAGTGCCTTAATACTAACACAAATCATTTTAATATGTAAAAGAAACTTATCCCATTCCTATGAAGTATGCCATTACAATGATAAAACAAGGCTCAGTATTTGAACAGCGGCTTACGTCTTTTAATGGTTCCAGTTTTCTTTGAGTCTCATATGATGGCGTCATTGTGGCTGGATAGTTATAATCAGCGTGTTCACTCTTCTCATGTTCATACTCTGATTTGTAGGCAATCTTCAAAATACAGGAAAATAAAGTGAAACAAATATTGATTTAAAATGTGCTTTTGGTTAATCCAAATACATTTAATTCCGTATTAGCCACATCACTGTGTATGTTTTGACAGTTATTTAGACATTTCTAAATAAGCACTGGACAAGTTTTAATTGTGTTCTCAAAGGGATGTTTTAAACATAAACTGTTAGACAGATAATGTTTATTTTAATGAAGAAATTAAATTCTGCTTCTGTGTTGAAATATTATAACAAAACTTACAAAGGGAGTTTGGAATCGCCACAGATTTTAAAGTGTGCTTTTCTAACTGCGAACCAGCTTCACAGTATTTTAAACTTTCAAATTTATATCTTGTGATTTGTCTTTTTCCAATGCTAAAAACGTGAATAAAAACTGAAACTATACACTATACTCTGTTCAATGCAGGTATACAAGTATATGGTGCACTTACATTGCTTGCCAGATTTTTTACTTTCATGGCATGTAGTGTCCGTTTGTCCATGCCAACACCTTCATAATGACCCTTCATCTGGTTCAGATAATTCTCCTTGTACTTCACCTAGAAAAAACATCAGTGTGTATCAGGCACTTTTTGCAACAAGTTTTATTTTGAATTGTGCCTGCAGTGGCTCCAAAGTGACACTTTTAGAGTAAACACAGCAGAATAAAAAGAATGAACAAACCACTGCACTGACTTTTACTTTATATATTTGTTTCTGTCAGTGTACTTGAACTGTGTAATTGGTTGTAATTGTACTTGTACAGTGTAATTGAAAGATGCCTAGAAAACAATGTTTACTCTTTAATCAGGTTCCAATGACTTTCTTTTGGCCCTAAATGTTGAATCTTCATGAGGAGTTCAGTGTGAACACAAGCAGCACCAAGGAGACACCAGTAAAGTGGAGCAGACATCAAGCTAGAAAAGTTGTATACCAGTAGCTCTTTCTGAATCCCTGTCTATTTTAAACCCCTCCTAGTGCATACTTACATCACTGGTGTATTTAGAGATCTTGGACACATTCTTAAACTGCGGGGTCTCACAGTAGTTAATGCTGTGACCCTTGGTATTCTCCAGATCCTTCTTGTACTCCACCTGAGCAAAAAGAATGATCAGCACTACACCACATACTGAAATGTATTATTGTAAACATGCCATACTGTTGGTGTTTCTGCCAACTGTGGGGAAACGGAAAACTAAAATAAGGAAATTACATTGATATTACTGACCCTGTCCTATCTAAAATAGCACTGGAAAACAGCAAGTGAGTGAAGACCTTAAGTGCTATACTCCAGGGACTTTTGGTTTGAATCTGGGCTGTGACCATAATCCATACTGCTGTTGTTGACTGGATTTGATGTGCATACTGGTCACGATTGTCTGCATACAATATAGATTTCACACACTCAAATGAATGTACATTCAAATTCAAACAGATATCAAAACTGGTGTTTACCACAAAAAAAAAGTAATAGCAAGTATGGTACACTTTGTAGTACATTTCATGAGAACAGTTTTGAAACAAAATTGGTACTGAAAAATGTTATTTAAAGAAACAATAATCTCTGAAAACTACAAAGAATATCGGTATATGGGTATTATTTGTTTTCTTTTGGATAACCTTTTCCTACCTCGCTGACAAGCTTGTTGATTTTCTGGGCATTTTTGATGACCAAGTTGTCGTCTGCTGTCAAGGTGTTGAAATGAGCTGTGCCTTTTGTCTTAGAAAACCCTTGTTTATACTTCACCTTAAAAAAGTAAACAAGAACACATGCATCATGGGATGTACAGTATATAGCAGAGAGTGAGTGATGATAGGTATCATCACAGAAATATCATTTTTGGGTGGGAATTGTTAACTTTTTTTAAAGCACTTTTTTACAATTTTTAATCATGCTTTGCGCAATTTTCCACCATCACCATCATTTTTTTCATATTTCAAATTTAGATTTTTATACATCCCCTTCCAAATAAAATGTGGACTACCTGACTTTCATCTTAACTTTTATATGCATTCCACAGTAGTTTTGTTGCAAAAAAGTATTTGTGTAATAAACCATAGTTTAAATGGATAGGACCACATTAATAAAACTTTGAACAAAGTTAATACCCTATTGATCCCTAATAAAGACATGACAATTGTCACAGTTATCTTTGGAATGCTAGTTTATGACTAGTCTAAGTGTCTACATTTAGATTCTCTTATATTAGGAGTTTGTCTTTCATTTCACAAAAAAAGAGGACAGAAAAGCTTATGACTACTGCCCGTATAAGTACATACATTTGCAAGTCTCAGTAATAGATACATACAGTATATCATAAGGTGCTATGAACTTACATCACTGGCCAGTTCATGGGCTTTCTTGGCAATTTGATATGCAGGAGTTATCATGGCAGGGAAACTGCCCTTTCCTCTGTGTTCTTCATAGTCTTCAGTATAAGCATGCTGCCAGCAAAAGCAACAGTTAAAACATAGCACATTTTGTAACGAATTCTGTGTTTTGCTTATATATTCAAAATATTATACAGAATCAAGAACTACAAACAGATAATGTCATGAAATGTTACTAATTACCACCCTCTAAATAAACACAACCACTGTAATCAGATAGTTCAGTCTTCATCTATGATACAATGATGCTTCATAAACTTATCATGTTGATACATTTATCCATGATAACTGTTTTCTATTAAATATAACCCATCAAGAGATGTCAAAATTGAATGCTCAAAACATGACTAGCTGTAAATATTAAAATGTTTTTCTTATTGAAATTGTGAAAGTCCAGTATTGTTATCACTGTTTGGGCATTATTAACAGTGTAACATAAGACTACACTTTTCATTGTACTTGTATTATTCTTTGGTTTCTATGGAGATTAAGGGGGTGTCACCAACCTGGCTGAATTTCTCCGCATTGTCTCTAGCAAGAGCCAGTTCTGCAGAGCCTGCTGCACTGCTTCCCTTCCCTTTCATTTCCCTCTCGTACTTCTGATGGTACTTGATCTAACAAATTACAGTAGATCCCGTTGTCAGATCTTACATGACAAATCTTGTGGGAAAAGGCAATGGAAAACTAGCTAAGCAGAGAGGGCTGGCCCTGACCCCAAAGAGAGACAGGCCAGTAAGGTTACCCTTAAATCAAACAGTTCAGAACACTTTCATTCTGACCACTGATACAGGTGCTGTTTTTACACTCATTTATAGACCTTTCCAATTGAAAGTACCATCTCCTTAACCACTCCAACGTACTAAATTGATCAAATTTCCCATGGTTATTGTCTTTACAAATTGATGATTTAAGGGTGACCTGTAAGAGGAGTTGACCAAATCTATTTCTCGAAGGTAATCGAGGTCTTCTGGTCTTCATGATGATTTATGTAATTTATCAGTCTGCTTACTCAGCTGGACATATTTAAATATTGCTAGGGTCTCGTAAAATTGATGCTTAAAAGTGCTTTGCTCAAGGTACATTGACTTATTCATTTTCAATCTAATCGGATAATTGGAGCAATTAATAATAATGGATGGAACAAAAGTTAGAAGACCCTACAGACCTCTAGGAACTGAGTCTGACAATCTTGTTCTTGAGGAAAATGGTAAACATACCAGCAGACTTTAATCACAGAAAGACCTTATGTATTAACACAACCGATTTTGATGAATAAAAGAAAAATAAGAGGAGTAATATATAATACCAACTGTAATATTAGTGTTGGTGAAAACAGTTTTTGATGATTTATGATGCAAAGGTCTTTTATTTAAAAATTCACTTAAATCATTTTAGTGTCATGCATCTGAGACTGAAAGGATGACAGAGAAACATATTTAATCAAAATCGGCATTACCAGTCTCTTTCTCCTTAAGCCTTAATTAACTTCTCATATTTTTTCATTTGTTTAGAAAAAAAATCCTTACAATATTTTTTAATATTCAAAATGACAATGAAAATAATTACATTGTAATTGGAACAAAAAAAAATCTGTTGCTGCATGACACACAGATTGCAAAGTTGATTACAAACCTTAGGCACTGGATATGTATTACGGCACTTATACTCTGTAGACATGCTAGATGAGATGCTGCATCTGAGCATTACGTGCTACTGAATGAAAGTGTCAATGCTTACATCACTAGCCAGTTCAGTGGCTTTCTTGGCCACTTCATATCCTGGAGTGATCATGGCTGGAAAGCTGCCTTTCCCTCTGTGTTGTTCATATTCTTCAGTGTACATGTACTGCAAAGAGAATGCAAATCTTTCTTTTTATGTGTGACACAATTGCATTAAATGTTTTCAAGACTTCACAGCATATAGACCTTATTTCCTTCCAACTAGGGAATGACTAGGGAAAATGCATAATGCAAGTCTCCATCACTTCCAAAGCAAACCTGGGTGATTATACATGTAATTACTTGAAGTGCTTTTCTAAAATTCAAAAATTGAAAAAAAAAAGATTTGGATTGTGCACGAAGCATATTTCTTGTGTTAAAAGATTAGGACTTGTTGACTTATTGTGTTATTGCAGGAGTGAGAAATGTTCAGTTTTAATCAATGAAACTTACATCACTAGCAAGCTGTGCTCCTGTTTTCGCCAGGAGTACTTCTGGAGTATCGGTGACAGAGGTGTATTTAGAAATTCGCTCTTCGTGTCCGCGCTTGTACTCCACCTGCACCACACACTGAAGTTCAAGCTTCAGACCAATTCAAACAGCATCTTCACATTAAGATTTTCCTATTACTAAATTTTTATTTTCAAACTAATCATGTCATTAAATGTTTTTTTTTTGTGGGACCAAACTGGCACTTTCAATGTTAGATTGCCAGAGGTGAACACGTACTATAGATTTATCAACCTTTGCATAGACATGTCCTTCAACTTTCTTTATAGCTTTCTTTTAATCCTAAAAATCAGCAGTCAAGGCATTTGGAAGGAATTACTGTTTTACAGCTCTTCACATGGAGGATATACGGTAAATAACCTGCTGGCTAATACTGTTGAAATAACAAGACTGAGAGGGGGCATGTAATATTGGACCCGACTTTCCCTGTGTACAAACTGGCCAACACATTCCCGTACAATAAAGTGTGAGGGCTGTGTGCCCACAAGGAAAATAAGGACCATTGTATTTATCTTCACCCAACTACAGTAGGTGTTTCCAGCTCTGGTCCAAGAGGGCTGGTGCGTTTAGTGATTGTCATTCCAAATCGGCTCTTAACATGCTAAACGAGCTGTTTACTGGCTTAACTGGACTTGTTAATTACTATAGCTTTTCCCAGCACTTTCAGTGCTGCTGCTATAAAGAGCCCTTGAATACCTCCAGGACCAGGACTGACAGCCCTGCTTTAAACAAATCACATGCAGTATAAACGGAAAGCAAACTCCAAGTTCTATGTTTTACTCACATCGCTGGCCAAAGTATTAGCTTTCTTAGCTATCTGATAAGCTGGGGTGATCATGGCAGGGAAGCTGCCCTTTCCTTTCAGCTGTTCGTATTCTTCAGTGTATTTAATCTGTTAACAGAAAATAGCATCAAAGACCTTGACCGTAACACTAAAGCTGCAGTACAAATGAGAGAGTCTGGCATTCTGTTGCCTTGCCCATTGTACTCACATCACTCACAAGTGATCCTCCAGCCCTTGCATGAAGGATTTCAGGGGTATCGGCCACTGAGGTGTATTGTGAAACCCGTTCCTCATGGCCACGCTTGTATTCCACCTGGAAATGCATGGAAACCTCCTTATAAAGCAATTACAGGAAGTTCTTATCTACTACAAATAAAGCATGACTATTCTGCTCTCAATATTTAAAATAAATTTGGATTTGTTTAAGTAATCCTTATCGGACCTTTCATTTCCTAAAACAGCACACCAAATAAATACAACATTAAACAATTTTCTCCTTTCTAACATAATTTTTCTTTGGTGTTATTTCTTAACCAAGAATCTCAGGACCAACTCAGATACCATTGTTAGGGAGATACACTAGTATGGTTGAATCATTGAAAGGAAAACAGGAACTTACATCACTTATGGTTTTTTGGGCTTGGGCCACCCTTATCATTTCTGGATTGGAGGCTGTGCCAGTGTACCAGGATTTCTGTTCCTCATATTCTGCCTGATAGGCTTTCTGAAAAGGGGAGGTATTCAAGGGAAAGACATCAACAGATCTGAAGAGCTCTTAC